GGGACCCCTAGAGATCATCTAGTCCAACCCTCCTACTGCAGCAGGGACACCCAGAGCATGTGGCACAGGGTGGCGTCCGGGCAGGTCTTGAAGACCTCCAGAGAAGGTCTGGAGGTCCTTGATGCCTAATGGATGCTCTTAACTCTCATCTTCAGAGCTATTGGGTTGCCTGCAATTAATCATTTCCTTTATGCCAATTTTTTGCTCTATCAAGTACTACAAAAGAGGAAAACTGGAAAGTGATCTGTGTTCTTTCCTCTCCAGGCAAACATGCTGAGCACCTGGGTTAGATCCATAGTCAGAAAACCCTCAGAGTCTGCATGGCTTTGAGGGACTATGCTGAAAAATGAGAGAAAAATGCATTTGTTTTGCATGGTCATCGTATTGCATTTATTAAATCTGGCGTGCAGGAAGAAAAGGGAATTTAAGCCAATTCCGTGCAGCTGTTGGGGAAACTCTGAGCAGCAGCATGAAGCTGCATGGGGCTGTCTCCCCTGGATAGAGCGGGTCCCCAGGAGGAAGGGGGACCCCAGGGGGACCCCAGGACCTCAGTGCCAATGACTGCACCAAATGAGCCCTGGCTGAGCTTTGTTTGGAGGGATTTGTGTATGTGTGCATCTATGTATATACATACTTTAACATGAGCCCCAGGCTTTCTCTCTGGATAGAAATGAATAAGCATTAGCAGTCAGCAGAGCTACATTAAGCAATGGTTTGCCACTCCACCACCCACTGCTGCCTCATTAACAGTTCTTAGCAGTGTGCTTGGTGTCATTGCTCGTTAGCAGTTGGACCTCGGCCTCCTCACGCAGCCCCTGCGCATGGGCGGCTGGATGAGGCTGTCACGATGCATCAGGGAGTTCAGTGCTTGGATTATTTTTAGCCCCTGCACCACGCTGAGGGATCTTTCTAGGTTGATGTATTATTATTGCTCACCTTTCCTACATCTGCGCTCATCATTTAAGCTGCAGCGTGCTAGAAGTCTTTGGAAGCAAGCACTGAGCTTCAGTGAAGGGGTATGCAGTAATGCACACCATTCATCTTGTGCGTCTTGTCCCCAAGTTACTGACTTAATGATAAAATAGCTTGAGTTCAGGTAAAATGTGCTATGTTCTCTGGAAGCAATCTTTAATTTGGCCCTTTTTATACCCTGCTCAGGAGGTAAGCTGTTTTGTTAAGGTCAAATGCTCCACACCCCTTTTTTTGTTGTTTGAAAGGGGAAATGATCCTTTGCATTGGAGGACAGTAACAGCTAGCACGTTTATGTTCTGCCTTGCTTGATTAAAAAAGTATGCGATGAAGAGTTTAAAATGATGAAGAGTTTAAACTGCGCATACTTGAAGCGTGTCTCTACCCTGCGGGTTTAGCTCTGGTGAGGTGTCTGGCAAAGGGATGGAGCCAATATGTTACACACAGAGATGTCTTAAGAGAGCCAGCTTGCCAGAGCACTCTGCAGTAGGTGAGGTGATCAGATACTGTAGTGACAGAAAGAATATCCATAGATGACTTTGAGGTGTTTCAGCACAGCAGTCTTTGCACAAAATTGGGGCTACCTGCAGGGGTTCCTTAGCATTGGGCATTACTAGATGAGACTTAGTGCATTTATTAGAGCTTGGCTCTTTCAAGAGCTTAAGGGGAACGTGCCAAATGCACAGTCAAATGCAACTATGAATCCCTCCGCGGTGAAATATTGGTGAAAAAGTGCTAGAGTCAGTGTAGATTGTGCATGGGGAGCGATAACTTCTGAGGGGTGGTGGTTTGTGTTTTTAACCCAGCATTTCCTGGTCCTCTGTCACCTGGTTGCTTTGCTGGCAGGCCAACCACAATGAGCTTTACATCCCCTTGGAGCTGCCTGTGTTTATGAGTGTGTTGACAGTATCCAGACACTGGTGGGAAATACGTGTGGGCTGCTCTGCAAACTTGTGTCCACTTCCCTCCTTTATTCTACCAAAATGTTCATGTGTCTTGGCAAGAGGCTTGAGCAGAGATTTGCTTAACGCAATTGGTCCTGACAGCAGCAAGGTGTGGATGGAGTGAAACACATGCTTCTGTAACCTCTCCCTGCATCTGAATTGCCACTGGTGAGCAAGGAGGTGGTGACTGTGCAGAGGGACGACTTGGCCTGGTCTAAGCCCATTGCAGGCTCCTCTGTTCTGGAAAACTTCCCTCTCTTCCTTCCAGCTTCAAGTGCATGAATCCTCTTCAAAGTGCCAGGGAGACAACAGTGACAGCATTATTTCTATCTGCTGGACCTGACCTTGTGTCCATCTAAAGCGCAGGAAAGCCAAAGTGAAAGGAGGCCACGGCTCCCCAAAGCTGTAACTGTTTGGTCAGGTGCCTGCAGGAGTAGAGTGATAGCAACAGCATGAGCAAACCTCTTGTGCAGGAAACCTCCTGTGCTCATTTATCAGCACGTAAACCTCACTGCACGTCCACAGCTCACACAGGTGCAGCAATATCCTTAGGTCTCTTCTCGCTGCTCAGGGTCTGTCCAGGCAGCAGGTCCTGAGGGGCATCAGCAGCCAGGTTTGCAGGAGCTGCCTGGCTGAGCTGCTTCTCTTAACCTTCCTCTTGCTAAAGTTGGTCATCAAGATTTATCTGTTGTTGAAAGGAATGTTTATTCCAAGCAGGATCTGGGAAAATCTAGACATCCAGAGCTCTGCTGATGGATACCATTAGAGGCTGCTACGCTGCTGTCCCCTCCTCAAGCTCCACTCCAGGTGGATACTTCATGGCATATTGCCCAGTACGTCGCAAACACAACAGTGTCAGAGCAGCGAGGGCAGGAGAAGGAACCGTGATCGCGGGCAGGAGCTGCTGCCGCTCACTGAGGACAGTGGTCAGCTGCCCCTGCAGCCCCAGCACCTCGACTGCTGGGCACGCTCTGGCCCTTCCAGCAGGGAATTGTTTTACAGACCCCGTTGAAGGATTTTATTCTTGGTCATGAAAGTTAAATGATGTAAAATGCAACAGGCTGGGAAAAATAGAGCATCGTTTCCTAATATGCTTCCTTTGCTTTGTTACCAAAGCCCAACTCCAGCTTGTTTAGAGAGAAAACAGAGTCTTTAGAAATCTGCATGATACTGAAATGTTTCTATTTAAGTAATATATGAAATTTAATATTGGCTTTGGGACCGGCAAGGGAGAGGGCATTTGGAGAGTCTGCACAGTTCCTGCAGTGAGAGCACAGCAGCCCTGAGAAAGGTCCTGGCCACTCATCCCATGCCATACAGTGGTCTTCTTAGGCAATTCTTACAGGCTGAGGTGTTGGGAAATTAGATCCTTTTTACATGCTATAAATATTTAACAGCCTTAGAGCATGTAGTTTAATATTAAACAGCCAGCTTTATAAATACTTCAGAATTAGAGATGCTGTCATGCTACATGGAGATGGCTTGATAGGATCTAGGAGAAATACTTGGGTTTGGCAGGGGAGGAAGTGGAGCGAGGAGGGGTCGGCCTCGTCCTCAACTGCTGGAGAAGGTCACAAATAGCCAAGGAAGTTGGGGCAGCTCCTGCTCTGGAGAGGCAACTTGGACACATTTCCTGCCCCTCAGGAAATAACAGAGCGGTTCCCACCCTGCACTCCTCAAGGAATGAAAACATTCCCAATCTTGAGAAAACACTGCAGACAAAACAGAACAATTTAGGACCCAGGGCTTAGTCAGCAGATATCCCCAAATCGGAAGTGCAACCTATTCAGTGTGGGGTTTATCGGTGTTAGAAAGGCAAGTGGCACTTCAGTGAGGGTTGATGCTCTTGAGCCCTTAAGTCCATGCATGACAACTCACCAGCCAGGAGATTCTAAAATGTATTACTAGCATTTTTGCTTAAAAAAAAAAAGAAAAAAAATCACCACTGACCTCCTGGTATCCGAGGGCTGAGCCTGGTGCAAGCCAGAGGCTCTGCCATGAAGCATGCTGAAACCTGCCCTACCTGAAATCAGGGAGACTATTTTGGGTCTCTCTTTTGTTCACCCTGTTTCCTATGTGAACCCTGAAAGTCTCTTCTCTCCCTAGGAGGTTCTCCCAGGTCTAGTGGGGTCTGATTTCCCCTACAATCTCCTCTACACATTTGAGGATTGGCTGCTCTAGGCCACCCTTCCCATCTGCCAGAGGGATAGAAAGCAAAACTTGAGAGAAATGGGTTAAAATGAAAAGAACAAACAACTGTGGTTCTTGGGAGAACACAAGTACTTGTGTGGGAGGTAGGTTTTATGCCATAGCAGCCTGCACAGTAAATAAGAGAGGAAGCAAAGCCCTCTGCGTCTTCACGGTTCATCTCTCAGCATCGTAGGTGGCTGCTCTGCACTTGGGATAGTACAATGGCAAAACTAACATTTTCTCTGTGTGTAAGAAATTGCAGTGAATAACTTGTTAAGGGGCATTACTTTCAAACAACATTGCTGAGCATTCAAACAGCTGGGGGGTTAGTATCCCATGATAGCTTCATAAAATATCATAGCTTCTGACCTCTAAAGTAGCCTATAGCATTATTGGGTAATATGTTTAATATTGGTGATGTATTCGGATAGCTAAAGCATGGTTAAAATGTTCACTAGGAGGTAGGGTGCAGTGGAGAGGTGGAAACTGGAGCGGGGCCGCGCGTACCCGCTGCGGCCGCAGCCTCCCCGCGCCGCGGGAGCCGCAGCGAGTCCTCGCGGGCTGCGAGCGCACAAGCTGCTTTCTTCTCGGTTTAGATGTTACCGGCGGTGGCTGTTGACGTTTCTGCTGGCGACACCGTCCAGGAGCCGCCGTGCACGGGTACATGGGCTGGAAGGCGCCTCTGGGGCCTCCTGTCAGCGAGGCCAGCAGCGAGCCGTGGCCCCTCGCCGGCACCGTCAGCCCCGCCACAACGGGGCCGCAGCTCTGCGTGGCCGTGCGGGGCAGCTGCTAACTGCTGAGCAGCGGGAAGATGGGTGTAACGGGCTGGGAGGGTTTTAGGAGTCGGTTTGTTGGCTAATTGCAGCTCTCATGTCGCTCTTGCTTTATCTCCACCAGGGTGAATCATCTCGTGATACCACCGGCCTCCGTGAAAGTCTGAGACGGTGAGTGCCCCAAAGCAGCGGCCGCTGCGCGTCCCGGGGGGCATGGAGGGGGTAAACATTGGGCCTGGGCGTAGAGGGTCTCCTTCCCTTCCTGCTTGTTGGGGCAGAACTGGAGGTTCCCAGGTCTCAAAGCTTGACAGTGTGTCATCCCTGTGTGTCATCCATGTGTGATGGCCAGACTGGACACGATTCTTCAGGCTGCACATGGGTGCCAGCTGAAGCCAACTCATTTCTTGGCTGTCAGTGTTGCTGTCCTCTCTAGACTGGCACTAATTTGTGTGCCCTCCCATCCAGCCCCTCTTTAACCGCAGGGTTAGCCTTGCACAGCCGCCCCGCTGCAGCTCGGCCACCCTGTGCCCAGGCAGCAATAAAGCAAGACCAGCGAGAGCAGGGCGCTGGTGTCCTTCATTGTACCGAATTTCCTCCAGGAAAACGGTGAGCCCATCTTTGAGCAGGTCTAACCCCTATCTACCCCTGTCGACTTGAAGAGCAGTAGTTAGGCTGGTCCAAAGCCAGAGTTCAGGCTCTCTCTCAAAGTACCTGTCATATATAACACCAGCTCCTGCTTTACCCTTGGCCCAACATCTGCTCGTTAGCCCATGATGCTGCCAACATCCCCCAAACTGAAGCTTTTCTGCTGAAAAACACGCTCTGCTAGTGCATGTTGCTGGGATCCGAGGTGTCCACAGCGAGATGGAGGGAGAGCCCTTCTCTCACTACCCTCCTCCTCCTCCCCGGGCGCCTGCAGCTCATGTGAGCAGCAGCAATTGCAGCAATTCCGAAACACTGCCCAGCTTTCACTGGAGCAGCTATTAATTAAAGCAAGTTTCTGAAGAGGAGGTTTCTTTCCCATAAATTAAACGCACTGAAAGACTAATCATAAACTCAGTAACATGTTCAAGAATGGCCTTTTGGGGGACGTGATTTAATAGAATTTCAAGTGCAGCAGATATGTTATTGCCACGAAGGGGAATATATTTTGGTATAGGTTAAGGGTGTAACAGACCAGCCTGTACCGTGCAGTCGCTGGGCTGGATGTGTACGCACACACTGTCATTTATCAGCAGCTTTTACACTTTTTTTTTTAAGTTTTGTTTTTCAGTGTGTGGGAGGAAATTTTAGATGATGTTGCTAAGACTCAGTTTTTAACTGAATTGGGCACTTGTGGGGTTTTTTCTATTTTTTTTTTCTCTTATGGTCCAGTTTTATATAAGTTGAGAGAAACCCGGCCATCAATTTAGGGAATTTTTTCCATAACCCAACAGTTACTGATTTTTAAGGGCAGGAACAGCTTCCTGTATAACATGGAGCATTGAACCTCTCGCAGGAAATCCTGCAGCAAGAGATTAAGGGATCTACAACCCCTAGGAAAGCTGCTGGCTACGTAGATACTCCAGAGCACACACAGTTTTGGAAAAGGCAGTTTAGAACTAGGCAGATGGAGAGGGGGAAGGCAGGGTCTGGGGCTGCTGCTCTTCAGACATCCTTACTGGGCTTTGCATCATTTGCAAATACAGAGAGACCTTTTCTTGCTTGGGGAGATACTGCTTTCCTTTCCCTGCTAATTCTTATATGATAGTTTCCAGTACAATTTAGATGCCCTGATTATATTTCATACAGTTTCTTGGTAAACTGAGACATCTCTAGGGATCTGTTTGAGTTTGGTGAGTAATCTGAAGATGGTCACTGAAAAGGCATCTTCCTTGGTTATCCTCCAGTGCAACAGCACTTTCAGAGGGGATGCAAAAAATCTAAGAGAGTGATTTTTCTCAGCTGGGGGGAAAAAAAAGTGTTCTCCCTTCTTGGTCTGCTAAGGGCTGCTAGCAGGTAATTAACAGACGTGTTTCAGTTAGCACCTGAGGCTAAGATCACTGCCCCAGCACTTACTTCCTTGGAGCTGCTGACAGCAATCTGTCTCTTCTGTTGTGAACTGGTGAGGTTAAAAATAGTAGCAAAAATTAGCAAAAATAGTAGCAAATAGTTGCAAATAACAAAACCTCATGCTGTTAGACCCTAAGCTGTTCCAGCCCACAACACAAGCAGTTGTACCTGTACACGCTGCCCCAGTGCCAAGCAGCTCCTGGCACTGCCCCTTGACCACCACCTTCTCTTCCCACCTGCAGTCACCAATGAAGGAAACCACATGTGGACTCCTGCTCCCACCACCACACCGATCTCAAGCTCGAAGCCCTTCCCTGCTGGAAATGGGTGGATCCTCTGGCTCCGCAGCACCCTGGAAGGATTATCCAGCGCCAGCCCAAAGGCGCCACTCCAGCCTGCGGGATCAAGTGCCGGGAGACGAGCGGGCATGGAATACGGTGCTCCCTGAGCATAAGGATGTCCACAGGTTCCTGCCAGCCCCACAGCGTGCTCCCCACGTGAGTGACTGTAGATTGTGTATAGGGTTTTAGTTGTAGCCGATGACGTATGCGTTACTTACAGGGCAACTTCCGTCCTATTTAATGCTGCTGTTCTGCCAGCATTCCCGCACCAGAGACTGCACTCGTTGGGGATCTTTTCTGTACATCACCTTTTCTTTAACACTGAAGGCTCAAGTCAGATTATTATTTTTTAATTTAAACATGTCATAAGATGCTTTATCTCTACTGAAGATATTAGATATCAGATATCTATCTCTATATATATATATTTAGATAAACAATTTTTATTTAAACGTTGGAAATCTGGAGCTGCCTGTGCAACCGTACCAGACATAAATACGTCCACAATCTCCTCATCTCAGTGCCCTGGTATCGGGCACCCTAGGAAAGGTTATAGCGGATGACAGTTTGTCACCTGAGGTTGAATGGGGCAGAGGAGAGAGTTTCACTGCACTGGGTATGCTGGTTGCTACAGGAAAACCAAGAAGGACCTTGGGCAGAAATGCCTAGGGGCTCCATATACTAAATTTAGCCTTGCCTGGGAGGTTCACAGCTTTTTAAAATACCCAAATCTATATGGCTGAATTGCTTTACCCAGGGCCTGGTGTCGTAATCCTGTTGTGCCAGTGAGGACATGCTTTGTGTACATGCATATCATGTTAGCCGTGTTGGACGTGCTAATTCTCCCTCCATCAGTATTTTCAAAGCAGGTGGCTGATACTCTGCAGGAACTGTTCCCTTGGGAACCATGGCCAGCTTTTAATGCACACATGGTTTTAATGCACACACGTTAGGGTGTCTGTTGTAGTCACTTTTATCTAAATGAAGATGCATTCGAGATCTTTAATATGTGAAGCCAGGGTCTGAACACCTTTAGATGCAGAGTAGGTGAGTCTGTAAAGCAGCCAGTGCCATTTCACAGGAGTTTTGTTTTGTGCACATGACCTCTGCAAGCCAAATATACACCACATCACATGAAGCTGTGGTGGTTTGGGGAAGGAAGGAGAGCACAGGCCTTGGAGAAATAACCAGCTCTCAAAACCAGGGCACTGGGTCAGTGATCCCCACACCTAATTTCTGCTTAGGATAATTTCTGTGTAGATGCTTCCCTGCAGCTTGGCCGGCACCTCTAAGAGGTCAGTGCAGCTCATCTGTGCTCCCTCTAACAAAGTGGCCGTAGCTGGGAGCAAATAGGGCCAGATCAGGGAAGGAAAGGCCAAACCAAGACTGGATAGAATGCAATAAGTCTGAAAGGTGGCTGTACTAAAAGTGGCATGAATTTGTTCACGAGGCACAGGAAGGGGCTGTTAGCAAATGTGCCATTCACGTCCAGGACATGCCGTGATCTACAGTGCAGGACTGCAGCAGATGGTGAGTAATTCCGTGCACCAACAGACTGGTCAGCACTCACCACAGCAGCCAGTCTCTGCCGAAATGCGTGTGGTTTTGCAGTGGCTCCTGTAAAATGCAACCATTTCTTCCTGATGAACCTCTGTAGGACTCTTCTGCAAAGGCTGTGCTGTGACCCAGTGTCCATGATCATTGGCTCTAAGGTTTAGCTGAACAACTAGAGCCAGAAATTATCCTCGAGCTCCTGGGTATCCTCAGGAGAACAGCAAATGCCTGCTAGAAATAATAAAGCAAAGCCAGTCCAAAACAATGCTTCGCTTCCCACCTCGTGCCACTATTTACATTGGTGGGGGAAACACCACCTCTGCGGTCCAGCAGCCAAACGCCTGGCTTTAAAGGCACGTGAGTTTGAGAATTCCATTATGAAGTTCCCTGTTAGGCTGTGGAAAAAGAAACAAAATCAACCCAGTGATTAGTCACTTCATCTCAGAGACCAAAGGGAGATTAGCCACGTTTCTAAATTGCTTTTCTGGACTTAGCGTGCAGTATTGTGCTCCTTTCCCCTATAACTCCACACGTAAAAATTTTCTGTAGGTGGAGATGTAATCAGGCTTGGAAGCTTTTAGGCTAATTGTGGTGGTTGATCTCATGGGTAAGAGCAATGAAAAGATTTTTGGTATAAGCATTGGAAGGATTTCTGGAATGGGAGTAAAATCTAAAATACGACCCATTTTCTGAGTTTAGATACTACTTCCATCAAAAATGAATAACAACTCCCATTAGCGCTTTTATTTGTTTTTGTAAAGAAAAGCTACTAATGGGAAAAGATAAATTAGCTTTAAATCAAGAATCCACATGTTATAGCATCCATAACAACAACTGAAGTAAGGTTCCAGCTCATCACTGCACTGACCTCTTGCACATCCTGACTGCACATGAATGTCTGAAATCCAGTGTACATAAACAGGAGCCCTGGACTTCAGGTTGACCCTTGAAAATAGGTGGGAAAATATTCCCAAAAGGGAGCGAGCAGAATGCTGCCATGCAGGGCCCCGTCCCCTCTGGCGCAGCCGGGCGGAGGTGCCCGCGCTCCTGGCCGGCACCGCGGAGCATCGTCCCCTGCCCGCCCGGCCTCGCCAGCGCCGCTGCCCTGCCCGCTGCTCCGAGCTCCGCGTCCTCCAGCGGCAGCGCCAGCCCTTTGCGCTCGGCCAGGGAGTGCGGAAAACCTCGGAGTTAGAAATGGGTTTTCTTGAGCAATCATTAACGCCCCCCAGAGCTAAGGCTGCATTTGCACCCATGCACCCGCTCCACAAGTGATGAGGCTGCTCGTACCCAGCAAGAGGCGCAGGGCGAACGGGAGCTGCAGAGGGAGGCAGCAGGATCGGCCCCAGAGCAGCAAGCTGCCACCCTGGGCGTGTGCAGGGCCTGCGGCTGCTGTCACCCACAGGGTGACCCCAGCAGCCTTTCCTGAGGAACCTCAGGGTGGCAGAACCCCTGCTAAGTGAGCGGGTGTGCTCGGGAGAGCAGCGGCCTCTCTGCAGCCCCTGTCCCAGCTGGGCGGTTCGTTCTGCGCTTGCTTTGTTTGGTAAACCAGCACTTACAGTCACTTTGACCATGTGATGTATGGGAGTATACAGTATGTTTTCTTGTTATACAAGGGAGGAGTATAAAATAGTTTTCTGATTTCTTTCAGAAACAAATGGCTATTTTATTTTTTAAGAGCAACTGATTGTGAATCTCAGAGTATAAGAAAAAAAAAGAGAAATAAGCCAAATATATACCTTTATGTAAATTAAGAAATAAAAGTATTTAAAACATACTCCTTGCCGCCCTTTCCTGGCCTCACGTGGTTGCAGTGTGGGGCTCTGCCTGGGGAGGCTCCGATGCCGCCTTACCAGGAGCACCAAGATCCCAACGGTGCCGGGATCCCAGTCCCGGACGTGGCTGGTTCTGCACAGCCCTTGCCGCCTCCGAATGCCCGCAGCAGCTCTGCTCTCCCGCTCGGGACGGCGGCTTCAACAACAAGTGTCACCAAGAAGCAGATACTGGGCAGGGAAACAGGCGCTTTCCATCACCTGCCAGTTCCATGAACAGGTTCCTGATCCCAGAGCACAGCAGGATGGCATCATCCGAGCCCTGTGTGCTCCTGGGGACCGGAGCACCAAGCTTGGCTCCCATGGTGGGATCAGCTGGAGCCGGTACCCAATGTCCCCACGCCTGCCCAGCTCACCACCGCACACGCTGCTGCTCCTCCAGCTACACCGGTGACGCTGTGCAAAGACCAAGGATCTCCTCTGGCAGGCACAGGAAAAAAAAAAAAAAAAAAGGAAAAATCATTTTATTCACCGTCAGGTTAATAAAGGGCTTGGAAAGAAAGCTGTGGCAGGATGAGTCAAGGCAAGGGCTTGTGCAGGCTAAAGGCAAGGTGTCCCTGGCAGGCCAAGAGGCCTCAGCCCTGGCTCCGGGAGGCCGTTGTGCGGCTCCCGAAGAGGGTGCTGGCCCGGCCACCCCTCCTCACGCGGGAGGGACGTAGGTCCCACGCGCTGCATCCTGCGTCCCCCGTGTGCAGCGCCCGCAGGGGAACCCGACCTCCAGCTCTCCCTGCACGCAGCTGAACCACAGACAGAACACAGGCCTGCAGCTCAGAGTCTTGGAAGGTTTATTAAAATTCAAGGAGGATGTAAAAAATATAGTTATAAAGGTATTAAAACAGTCCTCCAAGCCACACTGGCCATACCAGGCCTGGGAGAGTCCGTGGGGTTTACTCCTGCAGCACTGGAGCCTTTTTCACTTTCCTTTTCTTCTTGGCTTTACCCTGTTTCTGTAGGGTCTCCTGGTTGACATTCCCTTTGGCTTTCTTTGCAGCTGGAACTTGCTCAGCTCCTTTCCCTACATCCCCTTTCCTTTTTCTGTTCCTCTTCTTCCTCTTTTTCTCGTCAGCCACAGCATCTCCTCCATTAACAGCTTCTTCCCCACTGCCGGCCAACTTCTGTTTCTTGTGTTTCCTGCCATTCTTCTCCTCAAGGGTGTCTGTTCCCTCAGACTCTTCCTCTGGGGCTGCCGCGGCTCCTTCTTCACCAGCGCCGGCTCTTACCCCGTTCTCCTGGAGGCGCTTCTTGCGGTTCTTGCGTTTCTTGCTCTCTGGCAGGAAGCCCTTCCTCTTCCTCTTGAGGGGCTCTGCTCCCTGGGCCGCCTTATTGGCAGCTGCCACCTTCTCTTTCTTGGGTTTCCTGCAGAAAGAGCACCGAAAGTCAAGAGCAGCTTTATTTATGGATGGAGACCATGCTACAGGCACCCCGCACGGACGGGCGCTGCCCCGGCCACAATCCTCGCTCGGCACGTGGGGCGGCTCGCAGAGCTGCAGGAAGCTGCACCAGGAAGCCTGAGAAAGAGCCCCCATTCCACAGACTGGGAACCGCTGCATTTCCTGCCTTCTCCAGCCTCACGTTTGCAGAAGCCGCTCGGAGTGACGTGCTACGAGCCGAGTGGCACCTCACAGCCCAGCAATCCCTCTGCACCCTTGCTGGCTCTTGCGCCAGGCCACCGCTCCAAGCCCTGGCAGCAGCGGCTCCGCACTCGAGTGATGAGCCCTGCTTACACATCTTACAGTGTTTCCTTGTAGGGATGAACCCTAAGCATGTTGGCACCCGAAATACGTTCCAGCCTGAGCTCAGCACCCTGATTCCTTTCTCCTCCTTCCCCGGGGCAGAATGCCACGCGTACGTACGTGTAATTCAGCCAGCGCATGACGTTCCAATAGAGAGAGTCGAGCCGAGCAGACGTCCCAAAGCCTTCCTGCTGGTGCAGAGCTAGCAGTGCTCTCTCCGTCGC